GCACTCCTTTAATCCCAGCACTCGGGAGGCAGAGGCAGGCAGATCTCTGTGAGTTCAAGGCCAGCCTGGTCCACATAGTGAGTTCTAGGACAGCTGGGGCTACAGGGAGACCCTGTCTCAAAAAAACCGAAAAAAAAAAAAAAGATTTTTTTTTTGTATGTATGAGTATTTTGCCTGTATGTATGTACGTGCACCCATGTCATACAATGCCCACTGAGGCCAGAAGAGGGAGTCAGATTCCTTGGAATTGGAGTTATGGATAGTTGTTAACCACCATGTAGGTGCTGGGAACCACACTGGGGTCTTCTGCAAGAGCAGCCAGTGCCCTTAACTGCTGAGCCACCTCTCCAGCTCCTAAATCTTCCAATTTTAAAACCTCCTTTAAAGCCAGGCATGGTGGTGCATGCCTGTAATCCCAGCACTTGGGAGGCAGAGGCAGGCAGATCTCTGTGAGTTCAAGGGCAGCCTGGTCTACATAGTGAGTTCCAGGACAGCTGGGGCTACAAGGAGACCCTGTCTCAAAAAGACAGGAAAAAAACAAACAACAACAACAAAAAAAAAGCCCTCCTTTAAAAATATCGCAAATTTTAAGAAAAAAATACTTACAAACAAACAAAAAAAAAAGCCCTCCTTTAAAAATATCGCAAATTTTAAGAAAAAAATACTTTTCATCTGTAGAATATACTGTGTGTTTATTTACATGCTCAGGATGGACCTCATGGCTTCTTAGGGTGATGTTAATCTATTGTTTAGGGGGTGCCATTCTTCTGATTCCTATGTGAGCTCCCTCATTTCTATAGGGGAGACAGACAGTAGGGTGCTCACCTCTCCACTGTTGACTGAGCAGTGGTTGGGGCTAGGTTGTGGCAATACACCCCACCACCCCTTACTGAAAACAGTCAAGAGGGCTATGAGCGAGGAAATTGTAGGGGTCAGGGGTGTAGCTCAGTGGTAGAGTGCTTGCCAAGCATACACAAGGCCCAGAGTTCCATCCTTAGCACTTCAAGGGGAGGAAAAAAAAAGGAAAAAGAACATTGTGCACCAGGGAGAATGACTTGCTGCTGCCTTTTAACATGAATACTGTTGGTTAACATCAACCCAACTTCCAGTAAATGTCTTTGGTCTAAACAGGGGCTTTGCACACAGGTCAACCCAGCAAAACAGGTCATTACCACTGGGGAGACAGGAAGATTTTCAGGATCACACCTGTTTTTGGTTGGGGGGAGGGGCTCAGAAGCTGGGGGTAGAGTGGATATCTGACACCACGAGACTAGAGCCCGAGATAAGAGGCTAGGAGAGGCTACAGTCAGGAAAGCAACAACACCAAGAGGCAGTGAGGGAAGCTGAGCTGTTTAATCACCTCCGTGGCCAGACTCAGGCTGTGGCTACCCTGAACAACTCACACATGGGAGCCACTGAGAGTGGCTGGAGATGAGTGGCCCCATGAGTCAGAGGGGAGACAGGATGGGCAGAGAGAGCTTCAGTACCTCTGACTCCATCATCTGGTGCTCCTGCCCCTGGGTCCTGCTTCAGCTCTGAGAGGGTCCTGGCTGGTCTCCAGGGGGCAAGGAACTGGATGGCAGATGGCACACCCTAGCTGTAGTGGCAGAGCAACCCTGAGGCAGGGGCAGTGGTTCCCACACAGCCCATGTTGAGGGTGACACTATCTGCACTGTGGTGGGGGATGGAGGCACAAGGCTGGGGAAAAGGGGACAAGGTGGGGGAAGAGTGGTATTGGGGGTTGCCTGGGTCCCACCACCAGTCTGGAATTAAACAGCAGAAGAGAAGGTTGTTCGTGGGAACACTGGCTTGTCCTCATTGACAGTTCCTGGTGATGGGCTGACCTTGGCAACAGACCCTAGCAGCAGGCAGTTGTCCTGACAAGAGGGTGGGCTCTGTCAACAGTCCCTGGCAGTTTCCTGAACAGAGGGAGGAGCTGATCTGGGAGTTGTGTCCCCGGCTATTTGTTCTTTTTGAAGAAACTGAATCGCTTTTCTCGTTCTCTTTCTCTGCCATCCTTGCTGCGCAGTATGACAGACCCCTCAGGCTGTGACACTGGAGGCATGGTCATGGCCCGGGTCATACCCCGGGTGACACTGGGCACTGCTGGCTCTTCTGGCTCTCCAGAGATGGAGGATGCAGTGGCGATGGCTGCATTCACTACCCGTAGCCAGGAGCTCATCTCTGCCTGCAGGGGACAGAGAGGCTCAGTCTCAAGTACCTTGACCTGAGGCAGCTTGTGGCAGACAGTAGGAAGTATGAGGGGAAGTATGAAGTACAGAAGGGATGAACTTTTCTGTTTCATCAAGAGGAAAAGGATCCCTTCAGGATAGGGTGCATCAGCTTGGCATGGTGGCACATGCCTGTGAACCCAGCACTTGGGAGGCTAAGGCAGGAGGATGGCTATGAGTTTGAGGCCTACCTGTTTCATAAAATAGAACAATGGTGCTGGGGCGGGCAGGAGAACAAAGTGGGGCAAGGGAGCACTCACCTCATCCTTGGCCTGGAATAAATATTCTTTTCCATCCTGTAAGCTGTTGAGACAGAAGGCACAGGGCAGAGCTGAGAACCTGGATTTGGCATTCAGTGATTCAGGACTGGAAGAACTGGGAGAGCACTGGGGCAGGCCTCAAGGCCAGATGAGACATGTTTTATACATTCTCCGTACTTCCAAGTTCTTGCAGATGTACAAAAGCAAACTCTTTCTGACTGTGTCCAGAGGCCAGGGTAAGTTCACTTCCATCTCAGCCCATGCAGACAGCTGGCAGGGCATGGGCCGCTGGAAGCTAGGGTCAGCCAGCATCCCACCCTCACATTTCCCACTCAAGATAACTTGTTGGCCTATGTTTCAGTGTGATTCAGGATCTAGAATACCTGCTCTCCTTCATCCACAGGTAAAGCACTGGCATGGCAATTCCATGTGCTCTTTCTAGATAAGTTGTTCATGGTCCCCCCACTTTGCGCTTTGCCTTACTCCTGACTCCTCCTCTTCCCATCTCAACCCAAGAGCAGCCCTGGTTCCTACCCCAGCTTGAAGACATGTTTGCGCTTCCGATAATCAGAGGCCACACTGCCCTGGGCCCTGGCCAGGCTGACAGGCACTTCTCCATGGTATGGCACTCCTGCACTGGCCGCCTTGGCATCCTTGTAAAAGCCGAGGCTCCCACGCCGAAGGACGCAGTACACATTTTGCCAGGACCTTGGGGAGACATGGTGGGGTCAGAAGGCCTGGTGGGCAGGCAGACTAGCAGCCTTTGTGGGACCTGTATATGGGCATTATGGGACTGACAGTTCAACTCCTGTCTTTGGGCCACCCATGGATCTCCCCTAAGGTCTGTGCTGGTCCTGAGTCCCAGCCCTTTCCCAAAAGACATTCTTACAATGCCTCCCACTTCTTTGTCTATGAAGAGTTTCTACGGAAGCCTCCTCAGAAGCAGCAGGAACCTGAGAGGCCAAGGGCACCGTGCAGCCAGGCCTGATACCTGTTGGCGGCCTTCTTGTTGAAAGCCTCCATCTCATGTTTGCGGCACAGCATCCCTTCCATCTGTTCCTGGGCAGAGAGCTCAGGGCCTCGAGTGGGCAATGTAGCAACATGGGCTGACTCAGATGATCTGCTCTGTGGTATTGCAGGAGGGGCCGGGCCCCGAAGCTGGGTCTGCCTGTCTCCCTGTGGTCCATTGGCCTCATCCCCTGCGCCAGAACCCTGTGGGTAAAAGCTGGGATGAGATGGAAGGTGCCTCGCCTTGGGGCCAGGAAGTTCTATGGCCACAGGCTGATCTCAGACTGAGTTTCTATTGAGCTTCTGTCCTATCCCAGGCACAAGCTCTCCACCCCTCTTTTGTCCCTTCTCCCAGGCATTCATGCCCACCCCTCTGGAGAGACTCACAGGCCTTTCTGAGAAGCTTCTCTGCTCAAGTCTTTGTTCCAGCAGGGGCTGTAAAGACAAGAACCTGTGAGGACCTGGGAGGCGGCAGGGTTGACAGGATGCTTAGGGACTCAGGCTTACCTGTGAGGATTCTGTGTCTGTGCAGACCCCATTAACTCTGGGTGCTTGTGTGGATGGTGGCAATTGTGACTGGGTTCTAGAATGGCTGAAGGTGACACAAATTAATCTTTGGCTTGCTTGGGCTCAGCCTCAGCGTCCTGGCCCAGGTGTCCAGCTCTTACCCGTCCCAGGCAGTGTCAGGAGCTGTCTGCCCATCCACCAGACTCCCTTCAGGCAGACTGGCCATGGGTTCTGGAGCAGGGGGCTGCTTCCTCCGTTCCTCCTCCTCCCTCTTTTTCTTCTGTTCCTCTTCCCGCTCCTCTAGCTGTCAAGAGATGCTGAGGTCAGCATGTAGCAGGCCACACAGTAAAGGAGTAGGGTGAGAAGAAAAGCTGAAAGGCCTCAGCTCTGGCCCATTGGGCAACAGGAAAGATGAGAAAAGAATCTAAAAGAAGGCAGGCCAAGGAGCAGAGGGGATGTAGGGGTCTCAGCACCACCCGGGGAGCTGGCACCTGTGGTAAAGGTAACAGGACACCCTGAGTTCACACCCAGAGAAGAGGATGTAGGGGTCTCAGCACCGCCTGGGGAGCTGACACCTGTGGTAAAGGTAACAGAAAGACACCCTGAGTTCACACCCAGAGAAACAGTACAGTGGGAAAGAAATGTCTTCTCTCTCCTAAGCCGGGCCTGGGGGCGCACACCTTTAATCCCAGCACTTGGAGGTAGAGGCAGGCAGATCTCTGAGTGTTTGAGGCCAACCTGGTCTATATAGTGAGTTCCAGGCCAGCTGGGACTACACAGAGACCGTATCTCAAAAAGACAGGAAAAAAAGAAATGTCTCTAAGCAGTGGCAAACACAGGTCTGGGACAGGGGTGGGTGTGGGTACCCCTGGGGGGTGCCACAGTCCTCACCGCAGTGAGCTTCTCCAGCGCACTGAAACGCTCCTCCCAGGCCACTGCTGACTTCTGGAAGGCTTCATGGCGCTTGATGAGGCTCTCTACTTCATCCACTGTGCAACCCAGCTCTGCACTTCGCACCAATGGCTCTTGGCTGCACAACCAGGCCTCTGCCATCCCCGCGTCTCTCCCAAACACAAGCACCTCCAAAACTATTGGATTGGAGGTCAGAGAGAGATAATAGGTTAAAAGTGGGCAGTGCAGACAATGTCAGTGTCCCAGAGCACTACCAGAGGGTGCCAAGTATGGGTACCTAGAATTCTACACCCAGGCTTCTTGGTCTTACCCACTGTGGCAACCAGTGGGGGCAACCAGCCCCTCCTCACAAGCCCTCCTCCCTCTGGTGCTCCTACAGCGGCTCACCAAGTTGGAGCCAGTCCATCTTCTCCTGCCACTTGTCAGCTGTCTCCTGGCGCCGGGCCTGCAGCTGAGACAGCTTCTCTGAGATCTGGGGTGGGGTGGGGGAGCAGGAGTTAGAACCTAGTGAGGCCTTTTCAGGGTTCCTGTGAGCCACCCGAGTGCAACAGGGATTTCTGATGTCAAAAGGAAAATAGTTCTGGGGGAGAAATTAGATGTTGAAGACCCCTAGACAGCACCGACAGGTCAGAAAGCAAAGGATTTCTTGATGAGAAAGTATGACGAGCGGCAAACGGCAGAGACCGAGGAAACCTGAAACTGGGCATGATGTGAGTGTAATCCCAGCACTTGGGAGGATGAAGTAGGAGAACTGCTGTGAGTTTGAGGCCAGCCTGACTACATAATGGGTTTAAGGCCAGCCCGGGCTACATAGTGAAACCCTGTCTTCAAAAAACCTCCAAAGAAACAAACAAATTAAATGAAAAAAAAACAAATCAAAACTGGGCATGGCGGTGCACTGAGGAGGCAGAGGCAGGTTCATCTCTGTGAGATCCAGGCCAGCCTGGTCTACATAGTGAGTTCCAGGCCAGCTGGGCTACAGGGAAACCCTGTCTCAAAAAGACAAAAACAAAACACATCAGCACTGACTGGTGCTCAGGCAGGCAGGCTGGGTTCTCCAGGTCTCACCCACCTCCTCAGCTGCGTAGTGGCTCTGGGCCAGCAGCTCCTGCCCCATATCGATGCAGGAGGAGAAGCGGTCTGCTCTGGCTTCTATCTCTGCTTTGATGCCTTGTTGGTTCTTAATGACTAGATCTGCAGAGGACACATCCCTGGGACAATACAGAGATAGTATCAGCCTCTGTCCCCAGCCCTGCTACAGACACCAGTATCATACAACCTGTGGAGGCTGCCAGGCACTCTAGGTCTCACCGGGGCCGCTCCTGGGCATCCATCTGCAGGTTAATCCCATCCATCCACAGCATCAACTCCCGGACAGCCTTGAAGAAGCGGAACTTGTCTGTCGTGTCCAGTAGCAGCTGACGGCGAGCAGCTGAACTTCCTTGAAGCTGGGACCAGGCCTCGGACACTGCCTGCATGTGGCGGCCAATCTCCTCAGCCTTGTCTCCAGCATAGGCCTTCTGCAGCCGGTGGCCATCATCCTGAACTTGCTGGACCTGTGGGAACCAGGGTTGGAGTAAGGCAGAGCTGGGAGGACCTGCAGCCCTCCACCCCCAACCTGTACTGTGCCTGCCTCATGTCTGTTTCACCAGCCGAAGAGGCAGGATGGGGAACAAAGCTTCAGAGAAGGTGCCCTGCCACCCTCTATCCTGTTAGTCCTCACCTGGGGCCTGGGTTTAGCCCAGGTGATGGAGCTCTAAGACCAAGTTGGGCTATCCTATCCAAGGTATGAAGGACATTGAACTGCTAGAATGAGATGTGTAGCCTACAGAATGGATTTGGGTTCCGGGGCTGAATGGTCATATGGGGTAAATTTTGCAAATTCAGGGTTGTAGTCTGGGTGGCACCAACAGGTAGATTTTGGTTTGGCAGGAACATATTGCAGCCATTGAAACCACTTGCAAACATCATGTACCTTCATTAAAAGTGTGAACACAGGCTTGCAAGATGGCTTAGCAGGTAAAGGCGCTTATGAGCAAGACTGATGACCTGAGTTCAGTTCCTGGAACCCAAGGTGTAAGGAAAGAACTAACACCCAAACCTTGTCCTCTGATCTCCTTACACACACTATGGCTTGTACACACACACACACACACACACACACACACACACACACAGAGCCTGGGTGTGGTGGCTAATGTCCATGGCTGGATTTGTTTTCCTGGAGTGATTTTAAACTTATCTCTAAACACCCCTCTTCTGTTTCCCACCAAGCAGTTTCCTCTCAACTTTCCCCATTTCTTCAGCTAGGGTCAGACCTGGGTGCTGAGGGCCTGGATGTCATGCTCGTAGGCACAGTGCCGGCGCTGCAGGGCCTCAGCAGCATTGAGGTCACGGCCGGTCCCATCTGGAAGCTGTTGCTGCTTGTGTTGCACCCGTGCCAGGGCTTGGCGGGCCCCATGCAGGAAGCGCTGCAGCTCGTATGCAGCGGCCAGCACCTGACCTCTTGTGTCCAGTAGCTCGAGCAAGTCAGCCCAGGCCTCGTTAAGGCTGTCCTTCCATTCAGCCACGGTGGCCCTTGCAGCATGGCCCCCCGCAATGAGCCCATTGGCCAGGGCATTGGCACTGTCTACACGCTCCTGACCAATGGTGCTGGTGTCCCGGGAGAACTCACGAAATTTGTCTCGGAGCATCTAATGGAGAAAGCATTTGTAGACACGAGGGTGTGAGCTGGTGGATGAGATCCCTGCCTCATGGAGGAGTTACTCCTCTGCCCCAAACTGAGAACCCCCTGGATCAGTGAGCAGGTGTGGTCACTTTTCATCCACAGTCTCGTGCTGCTTAACAATGAGGCATGTCCTGAAAAATGTGTCACTGGGCAGTTTCACCAGTGTGCTTACACAAACCAAGATGGCTAGGATGTCACAAGGAAGACACCTCACAGGACTACCATTGTATATGGTGCCTGACACACTAAAACATTTAGAGGTGTTCAGAGCCTTTTGCCCTCAACAGGGGCACCCTAATTATGGTCTGGATTGCTACACCAGAAGGCCCTACTCTCTAAATCAGAAAGGACTCTGAAGCTCACCCCATCTTGTTGAGGTCTGTTGAAAAAGAGTAACTGTTTAGCAACTTCCTTTTTGTCCTAACCTATGGTTGCCCCCGTGCATAATTCCTCAAATTCTTTAACTCAAAACCCTGGAGAGTGCTTATTCTGTCTGGCCTGTGCCCCATATCCCTCAGGCCCAGGCCTTGGGCTCCCCATGGCCCCTGACCCTTGCTGGTCTGCATAGTACTCACAGTCACATGCTCATAGTCCTGGCCCAGCTCATGAGAAGCCGCCACCACCTCACGCTCCTGGATCCACTGTTCCAGGTCGTCCAGTTCTCGGCGGAGCTGGCATAGCCGCAGGTGCTCTTGTAGACGCTCCCGCCGCTCTCCAGCCAGCTCCTTCAGGCTGGCATACAGCTTATCCACCTGGGCTTGGCGGATAGTTATCCGCGTGCTACAGGGGTAAGAAGTCACCATCTGGCTTAGGCACCTTGTGCTGATACTCAGCCTATTCTGTGGAGCCCTGTCTCTCCCATGTCCCTAAATGCTTGCTAAGTCCCTGCTTCTCCAACTTTCTAGAATGTTCTGTACACACAAAATACAAATGATGCCACAGTCCCTATACCTTCCTAGAACCAGCTCTCTTTTCCCCCAGGGTCTAGGCCACTGGCTGTCCACATACCTCTCAGGGTGCTCATGGTCAATCATGTCTTGGCTGCTGGCAGCTAGCTGGTGGATGGTCTGGGCATAGTCAGTCAGGGCTTGCTCCAATACCTGATGCTTCTTCACCTCTGCCTGGGCACTCAGCTCATCCTGGGAGAGAGGAATGGGCATCAGGCAGTGAGGGGCAAGAAGTACTGGCCACACAGACCAGCCACTGTGCTGGCTCTCACCTTGGCTTTCTCCTGGCCCATCATGTGTAATTCCTGCTCGCCCATCCAGGCCTCGGCCTCAGCGGCATCACGGTAGAACTGCTGGGCTCGCAGGGCCTCCTCCAGTCGCTTCCCCCGAAGCTCCAGCTCATGGCTCAGGCGTTTCCACATTTCCTGGAGCTCAGCCAGCTCTGGACCTGCTACTGCTGTTCCCAGAGCCCGCTGCCTCTCTTTGAGGTCTGCAATCCGGGGCTCATGGCCCTGGATCTCTTTTTGCAGAGTCTGCTTGGGCCACAGAAGAGGATACAATGAAAGGCTTGCAAAGGGAAGCCTCAGACCTGTTCCACCTTAAGCCCTCCCTTCACTCTTCTCCTCCTTCCTGAATCCCCTGCAGACTTCCTCTAGGCCCAGGGATGCAATGATGACATCCCTTCAGTTCTCTTGCTTTCCTACAAAGAGACGCTGCCCTTCACACTAGGGAAAGCTGAACTGCTGAGGTCTAGGGCTACACAGCACAATGAAGCCAGAGGAACTTCCACATTAGGAGCAAGCAAAGGGCTGAGTGTGCAGAGGCACTTGGGAACTTTTCTTTCACCCTTATTCCCTGCTTCACCTGGTTTTTCTTCATGAGAAGCTGGACGCTGGGCAGGTCCTTGCCATGTTCCATGGAGCTGGCCATGGGTAGCCGCTCAGTTACCCACAACTGGGTGAGAAAGAGGAGGTCAATGGAGGTGCATAGGGAGAGCCAGAACAGGCTGCAGAAGGGAGCTACCCAGGGCTACAGTTACGGGTGAAAGGGACCACCATCTTGCTCTCTGGGGTAGTGGAACCCACAGACCATCCATGAACATCCTTAGAGCAGAGATGCTCATCATTTAAGAGAGAACAGGGTATGATGGGCATCTCCCCAGTGTCCAGGTAGGAGCTGGAGGACCACGTGGCCTGGGGCAACTTGTCAAAATGTACACTCCATCCCATGCGGGGTCAGCAACTCACTATCTCATCTTCCACATCCCGATGGAACTGGTGCTGCTCTCTAGAGGCTTGCAGGCGATGGCAGCGTTCCTTCATGGGTTGACATAGGGCCCTGAATTTCTCCTCCACAGCCCTTGAGGTCCTTTCTACCTCCCCTGCACTCTGGTCTTCCTGGGCCAGGGCCTTTGCCTGGGCCTGGATCGCCTCCACCTCCTTCTCTCTCACAGCCATCTCTCTTTCCAGCATCTACAAACCCAGAGGAGGAAGGGATGTCAGAGCCACATTCCCACCTTCAAACTCAGAAGAGACCCTACCCTTTATCAAATCATTCATGAGTCCTTATCCCCAGGGCTCACCCCAGGGAGAACCACTGTATGGCCTGGATAGGTTAGTCTATCCAGGTTGTGGATACAATCAAGGTTGTGTGACAACTATGCATATTATGAAATCATTGTCTCAGTCCCAAATCCACCTCTGCTTTGCTTTGAGATGCTGAAACTAGACCTTGTTAACATTTGATAGGCCAACTCATACAATGCCAGTCTAGCCTGCAGAGGGCGCTGCAGGGATAGCGCAGTGCATCAGAGGAAGGGCTGCTGTGATTCCAGCATGCTTTGCTTTTTGCTCTGACAGCAAAACTGTCCACAGGTTAGAGGTGATCTGGTAGCTCCTCCCCCTCCAGGACCAGAGCTAGTTTCATTGGCACTCCAGGGACAACTCCCAGTTGGCTGGCCTTGACTTGCCAGGCTGCAGACCTCCACTAGCCCATAATACCACAAGGAAATTTTTATTTAGGTCATTGAGAGGGATTATACCTTTCATGACATCTGAAACTCAGAGCTCTCACTCCTTCCTAGGGTGTTCCTCTCTGGCCAGGTAAAACTGGTCTCTACACTTGTTATTCCAGGGTTCTTTTTTTTTTGTCTTTTTGAAGCCCCAGCTGTCCTGGAATTCACTATGTAGACCAGGCTGGCGTTGAACTCACAGAGATCTGCCTGCCTCTGCCTTCCGAGTGCTGGGGCTACAGGTGTATGCCACCACGCCCAGCTTCCAGGGTTCTTAAGAGCAAGGATCAGTAGATACAGCCTACTTCATAAAGTTTTACTGGAACATAGTTCCATTCCTCTTGTTTTTTATGCCATAAAGACAGAACTGAATAGCTGTAAGAGAGATCCCATAACCCAAACAAAATATTTATTATTTGGCTCTTTAAAAACTTCTTATGATTTTTAAAATTTGTGATGGGGGGACAACATGGTAGTGGGCTTTCTCTTTACACCACTTGGGTTCTGGAGACCAAACTCAAGTTGTCGTCAAGCTTGATGGAAAGCACTTTTACCCACTGAGCCATCATACTAGTTCTACTATTTGTCTCTTAAAAAATATATACTATTTTATTTTATGTGTATTAGTGTATTGCCTGCATGTGTGTAAGTGCATCCATGTCCTGCTATGCCCATGGAGGTCAGAAGAGGGCGTTGGATCCCCTTGAGCTGGAGTTACAGATGGTTGTCAGCTGCCATGTGGGTGCTGGGAATCAAACCTGGTCTTCTGCAAAAGCAGCCAGTGTTCTTAACTGCTGAGCCACCTCTCCAAGGCCCTATCATTTATCTCTTTATAAACAATCTGACTGACTGCTACTGTGGAATTCTTTTTACACTTGGCTTGGATGTGGTTTGCCTCCTTTAAAATGCATGTTGAAATCTGGTGTCTACAAGTTCTGTGTTGAGATCACAAAAACTTTAAGAGGTGATTAGGTCATTTACAGGGATTAATGAAGTTCTCATGGGACTGAATCAGTTACCACTAGAGCAGGTTATAAAGTGAGGCTGCCCTGTGTGTCTATCTCTTCCACATGTGCTCATTTCCCTTCTGTCCCTCTGCCATCTAATGACATAGCACAACACCCTTGTCAACAACTAAGCAGATGCTGACACCATACTCTTGGGCCTCCAGAACTACAAGCCTGAATAAATTCTACCCTTTTATAAACTACCCAGTCTCAGGCATTCTTTGTTTGTTTGAGACAAGGTCTCCCTGTAGCCAGAGGTGGCCTGGAATGTACTACGTAGACCAGGCTTGCCTTGGTCCCACAGAAATCTACTTGTTTCTGCCATCTGAGTGCTGGAACTAAAAGCATGTGGCCATACACCCAGGCTCAGGTATTCTATTATGACATCAGAAAACAGACTTTTTTAGTCTGTTTCACTAAGGAATACTTCTTTTCACTCAAGTTACCTTGTCCAAATTACTAGTGTGGTCTGTCTCCTGACTTTCCTGAATCACACACACACACACACACACCCCTTGAAGATTGTTGTTGTTATTTCATAGAAATCACTGTCAGAAATACTAAAAGATGCCACCTGCCGGGCCTCCTGAATCTCAGAGCTAGATATACTCTTCTATTCTGGGTTTGCCCTCCCCAGAGGTTCCTGGAGTACCTGTTGCTTCTTGAGCAGAATGTTGACACTGGTGAGGTCCTTTCCATAGTCATCTGAGTGCAGCTGGGCCTGCAGGCTCTCCAGCCAGCTCTCCAGGGCAGAGCAGCTTTGGGCAAACAGTTCAGCCCGGTTGGCATCAAAGAGGCTTCGGGCTTTGGCCTGGGTGGTGGTCTCCAGCTCGTCCCAGCGCCTGTGCAGGTCTCCCAGCTTCTCTGACACAAGGGCTTTCAGTTCTGGCTTTTCAAGAGTCAGCTCCCGCCCTTCCTGGGTGGCAAGACAAAGAAGGTGTAAGTGCTAGTGTTAGACACTGCTGAACATTACAGGTGGATGGAAGACCAGGGATCGAGAGAGAAGCAGAGGGCTGAAGTGTGTTGAGTGAGTCCAAGTCCTGTGTGAGCACATTAACACACCCTTCTCGGTGGTTTCTAAATTTTTTCTGTGTCTGAGTGTTTTGCCTGCATGTATGTTAAGTGCACCTGTACATGAAATGCTCACAAAAGCCACATGTATATAAAGTGCACCCATATAAGAAATGCCCATGAAGGCCAGAAGAGGGTGTCAGATTCCCTGGAACTGGAATTATGGATGGTTATTAGCCACCATGGGGGGCTGGGAACCAAACCTGGGTCTTCTGCAAGAGCAGTTAGTACTCTGAACCCTAACCAGGTTTTTTAAAAATATTTATTATGCCGGGCGTGGTGGCACACACCTTTAATCCCAGCACTCAGGAAGGAGGCAGAGGCAGGCGGATCTCTGTGAGTTCAAGGTCAGCCTGGTCTACATAGTGAGTTCTAGGACAGCTGGGGCTACAGAGAGACCCTGTCTCAAAAAGACCAAAAATATACATTATTTATTATTTTTATGTGTATGAGTATATTGCCTGCGCCGGGTGTGGTGGTGCGTGCCTTTAATCCCAGCACTTGGGAGGCAGAGGCTGGTGGATCTCTGTGAGTTCAAGGCCAGTCTGGTCTATATAGGGAGTTCCAGGCCAGCTGGGGCTACAGGGAGATCCTGTCTAAAAAAAAAAAAAAAAAAAAAAAAAAAGTGTATTGCCTGCATGTATGTTAAGTGCACCTGTGTGGTTCAAGGGTTGAATTCCTCTGGAACTGGAGTTATTAGCTACCATGTAGGTGCTGGGAATCGAACCTGGGTCCTCTCTAAGAGCAGCCAGTGCTCTTAACCGGTGAGCCATCTCTCCAGTCCCCTCAGTCAGGAAGTGGTTTTTAAAGCCATCTGGACTGCTCCTCCTGACTGATTATTCTCCACTTCTCTTTCAAGTCCAACTTGACCCTCACTTCACTTAGGAAGCCACTGTGAACTGGGTATGGTGGTGCATGCCTGTAATCTCAGTCCTTGGGAGCTGAGACAGGAAGGTTGCCATGAGTTTAAGGCCAACCTGGACTACATAGCAAGACACTGTCTTAAAAAAAGCCATTTGCAATCTTTTCTTATTCGGGCTTCTCAGTGCTCGAGGTTTCTAGTGTTGTGTTACATGTGGTCTTGAATTACCTGCTGTTGTTTCTCAACTCATTTCTCTTCACTTGCACTACAGCAAATGAGTCTCACCTGGTCCTTCCATTGTTAGCCTGTCAGTGTGAAGACTTCTGTTTCTAAGGAAGTGTGGGAAGCATGTGTGGAAGGTGAGCAGGAAGGGTCTCCACCATGGCAGACAGGGAGGGACGTGATGGACAAAAGCTCTGCAACTTCAAGAACGGGTGGGACAGCACTGCTTTGTGTTCTGTGCTGGCTCTTAGGGTGCCCCAGTAGCTCTGAGTTCCAGCAGCCTGCTGCTGAGGCCGGCATGATGACACTGCTCTCTGTCTTTCCTTCCTTCCCCTTTGTGGTGCTGGAGGTAGAACCTGGGCCTCACACATACTAAGCACATGCTCTACCACTAGATGACTGTCTCTCGCGTCTCATCCCCCCACTCTCCTTCTCGTGTCTCCTGGGAGCACCTCTCCAGAAGCTGGGCTGCTCTAGAACTCTGCTTTCAAGGTCTACTTCTGACATCACAAACTCAAATGCCTTCAGGTCCTTTACACAGCTATCTGGGTGAAGAGGTCAAAGGCTCTGCTTGTGTGGCCTCCCGGCATTTTGGCACACTCCTTGCATGGTGATCTGGGCTTTTCCTGACCTGGCCCAGGACTCTCTACCCACCTCTGCTTCCAGGGCATTGCACATTCTATGCTCCTGACAGGCTGACATCCTTGGTCCCTTGGGAACTCCTCTTCACACTTCTGGGTTTTCTACCTTACACCATTCTCTACTCAGAAGTATCTATCTCCTAACTGCTCTCCTTGCCCACATTCTCCTCACCTTCGATGGACTGCCCTAGATGAGCCTTCTTCCAGAACTCCTTCACTTCTGTTCCAAGTGCTCAGGCTTTATAGACTCCGCCTTCTGACACCCCTTGTAGTCTGCTATGGATTTATTCACTTATTTTTACAGTCCTAGGCATTGAACTAGCACCTCATAAGAACTAGACAAGCACTCTACCACTCTACAGCTCAGCACTCTTTTTACTTTTCATTTTGAGACAGTCTAAGTTCTCCAGGATACCCTTGAACTTGGGATCCTCCTCCCTCAACCTCCCTAGAACCTGGAATTACAGGCCCTGTGCCTCCAGGCCAAGCCTCTGCTTTGGATTTAATGCAGCTGTCTGTGTACACATCTCACATCCTGGCTACAGTATTATTTCTCAACAGTGGGGCCAGTGGTGGCATCATGTCACCTCCACTGTCCTCTCAGTGCTGTGCATGTAGCAGTGCCAAGGAAGCATTTGCTGAGCAAATACAAACACCGGAAACTGTCTCCTCTCCCCAGTTACCATGCCCTTGAGGGAGGAAAAATCTCTTTTGATGTGCCACACAACACCTAGCAACACACTGAGCTCACGTCACCATCTCCAGGAATACTTGCTGAGTAGAAATAGCATTTCACTTGTCCTCAGCAATCGAGGCAGAGCTGTGTGTGGGAGAACAAGTCCTAGGAACAGCAAGACTCAAAAACAAACCATGGCGGATGAGCCAAATACGGTCCACTGCCTGTTTCTATAAAGTTATTGGAAGACAGCCATGTGGCTGCTTTTGCACTGTGTCAGAGAGACAAACAGCTGCAACAGAAACTGGCCTACAAAGCCCGAAGCATTTCCTGTCAGCTCTTTACAGACCCCAGAGGAGGGTCATGATGAAGGAGGGTCATGGTGCTGCAGACCCAGAAAGTTACGGTACTGAAACCATGCCACAGTTTGACTCCCTGCTACGTTGTACTTCCTCAAGGTTTTGTCCCTCATCCCTAAGACCCTAACAGTCCCCAGGCCATAACTTTCCACCTTAGCAATGTGAGCATCTGGAAAGAACCACATCCTAGAGCTAGGTGCCCGCACTTCGTCCAGAGGTAGTGTGCAGGCTCGCTCATGCTGCTCTGGCCACATTGCTCACCTTGTCCACCTTGTCCAGCCAGTCCTTGTTGGCTGCCAGCTCGGCCATGAACGCTTGGTGTTTTTGCCACTTGGTGTGCAGGTTGCGGGCCTCATCGTAGGACACATCCTGGGCTGTCAGCATCTTCTCATCAATCCAGAGTTTCAGCTGGTGCAAGCATACAGCAGGGGTGAAGAAGGAGGGGATCTTTTAGAGGGAAGAGACAGGGGGGCCTGGGAGGGGACAAGGGCCAGGAGTGTGGAAGACTACAGAAGCCACATGTGGAACCTTACTCTTGGCCTAGGAAGAGTAAGAGTGTGCGGGAAGGGGATGGATGGCTGGGGAATGCCACAGGGGATACCAGAGCCTTACCTCCTGACAGTCTTGCAAGAAGTGCTGCTGCTCTCGGTTGTCCCGAAGGCGGCCCAAAAGCTGCTGCACTGCCTCTTGATTCCTCTGGTGTCTGTAATGACAGTTGGGGCTGAGACCATGACCTTGTGAAAGGCCATGGCCTTTAGCTCACCCAGAAGGCCCAGCCTTCCTCCTATGGGGATAATGTCCCCCTGGGCCCAAAAGGACACCCCAGAAATTTGATTTCCAAGTAGGCTTTGATTTGCCTTGGTGTGGTAAGCTCCCCATGGGCCCTGGGCCAGCCCCTCGCTAACCACTCTGTTCTTCCTCTATTTTGTCATCTGCTGTTAACTCCCTGCCATTTGTCAGTTCACCTGTGCACACCTCCATCTTTTAGGCCACCCTACTTTCACTAGCTCTCCGAGGTCCCTCACTTGTCCACCGTCCTCATCATACCTCTTTTCGATGGAGTCTGCCTTCTCTTGGATCTTCTCTGCATGAATGTTGCCCTCAGACACCAGCTGGCGCCCAGCCTCCAGAAGCCCGCGGATACGCTCTCCATTGGCATCCATGGTGCTCATGAAGTCTTCCAGCTTTTTAATGGCTGCATCTGCAGCCTGGAGTGTCCCCGGCATCTCCGTGTGAGACAGAACGTATTCCTGTGTGGGAGAGATGATAGTGAGTGAGCTCACATCTTAAAGCTGAGATTCCACTGGAAAGGACCCACCCAGGGGCACATCTAAGATGGGCCAGCCTGGTGAGGGACAAGGTAGCCCAGTGGCTCTAAAGACACCTTGTCTTTAGACAAGGGGGACCACTAATGTGGGGATCTTACAAAGTTCCAAGGCAGCCAAGCTGGAAGACTTTTACCAGTCCAAATCCTGTCCCAATTTGTAGCTTTTGACTTATTTAAGATTTGACTAGCCAAGTTTTTCATTTTTTCTAAAGTCAGCTTGGTTACATTTATATTTAAGTTTTATTATTCCCACATATTTTTATTATTTTTTATTTATTTAAAGTTTGATTATTTTTATTTGATATGTATAATAATATTGCCTGCATGTATGTGAGTGCACCGATGTCATGCAACGCCACAGAGGTCAGAAGAGGGTTTTGGATTCTCCTGGAACTAGAGTTAAGGATGGTTTGTAGCCAATATGTGGGTGCTGGGAATCAAACCTGGGTCCTCTGCAAGAGCAGTCAGTGCTCTTAACCACTGAGCCATCTCTCCAGCCCCCTGTTTTTCATTTTATGTGTCATTGCCTGGATGTGCATAAGTGTACTTGTGTTATACAATGCCCAAGGAGTCAGAAAAGGGCATTGGATTCCCCTGGACCTGGAGTTACAGACAATTGTTAGCTGCCATGTGTGTGCTGGGAACTGAACCCAGGTCCTCCGCAAGAGCAGCCTGTGCTCTTAACCACTGAGCCATCTCTCCAGCCCTCGTTTTTGTTTTTTCAGACAGGGTCTCATTATGTAGCTGTGGCTGGGCTGAAACTAGCTATGTAGACCAGGCTAGCCCAATAGTCCCAAATACTTCTGATGTGTTCTTCCTGCCTACCCTGCTTGCTCAATGACGCTATGCGCTGGCACTGTCCACCCCTCTGCCACACTCTATTGCACTTCCCCTGGTCCATTTTTCTCTTCTTCCTGATTGGGCATGTGCTCCCTGGGTTCTCACCTGGCTGCTGAGGACACCCTCGGCCTGGCGAGCATCTCTCAGGAACCCCTGGAAGCCATGGGCCTGCGCCAGGCGGCCTTGCCGGCTCTCCCACATTCGACCCAGCTCCTCCCAGCCAGTTCCGAGGGCTTCCAGACGCTGCCGGAGGAAAAGGCACTGCGGGTCGGCCTGGTCTCGGGTCACCTCCTCGCCCAAGGCCCTGAGGCGGCTGTACTCGCTCTGGGCCCTTTCCACCTCTCCCCGAAGACCCGCATGCTGGGCTAAGAGGGCTTCTGCCTCAGGCAGGGTAGCTGGCCCTTCTTCAGAGGCAACAGCAGTCTGTGTGCGGCCTAGCCAGGCCTGGAAGTCATCCAGGCTGCGCAGGAAGTCTTGTAGCCTCCGTGCCTCACCCAGGGACTCCTCTCGGCGCCGCATGGTGGCCCGCAGGTCATCCCATCCAGCTTGTACTTCTCCAAGCCGGGCATTGATGGCAGGGGCTTGGGCTGGGTGGCCAGCAGCCAAGGCGTTTGCTTCTTGGGTCAGCTCACCCACCCGGGCAGAAATGGCTTCCAGGTCCCTCTCAGTGCCAGCCAGCTTCCGCTGCAGGGCCAGCACACCAGCCAGATCATTGCCCAGGCCCTGGGTAGACTCAATGACCTTCGTCTTTTCTCTCATCCAGGCCTGGGTCTCTGTGCACTCTAGGTGGTAATTTTGGATGCTGAGGGCTGATGTCAGAGCTGCCTTCTTGCCATCTGCCAGGGACCGAAACTGCTGCCACCTGCGAGTAGGGGAAGGTCTACATGTGGAGTGGCTCAGCTTCCTTATCCTGGCCAGGCACACCAGTACACCAGAAGGCTCTTCCCTACCGCTCTTCTTTGCAGACACCTCCTCTTTTGCTTCTGTTAAGGGGGTTACTCACCTCCTGTTCCTCACTTCCTTTTTTGGCTTCCCATCCAGTCCCCAGCCTCTTTGGACTGCCCTGACCTTTTAACTTTTCTTCTCTCGACATAGTCCTCCTTTTCAGCCTTCCAGCCCTACCACACTCTTCTGCCATCTGCACTGCCCAGGTACCTAAGGTTGCCTTCCCACCTCAAGCCCACCTGTGGTTGAGTTGCTGCTGGGTACTGATGATCTGGTCCTTGCCTGGTGGGTTGGCCTTCAGCAACTGCTCAGCAATGTCATTTACAGCAGTAATCCGCACAGCCAGCGCATTCATTTCGGGCTCCAGGGTCTCAAACCTAAAGGGGGTGGGGAAGAGTGGGCCCTGAATGGAGGGAGTCAGTGAGGCACCTGGGTGTCTCCCTTAGATGACCACAGGAACTGTCCCTTCAACACTTCTGTTCCAGCGCCACTAAGCCTCTTAGCCTACAAGGTCCACAGGTGCCTGTGAGTTAGAATCCCCACATCCCCTAAACAAGGAGAAAAGCTATACTTTGTAGGGTTGCTCAAAAACAGTGAGGTCAAAGGTCAGAAACGGATGCAAGGCAAGTCAGTCTTAACTACAGCACATTACCAGAACCTCACTCTTTCTCCTGGGGGCTCAGTCCCTAACCACCAACCCAGGCTTCATCCTGTTACTATGAACTAAAAAGACAACCAGAGAGGGCTGGAGAGTCGGCTCAGTGGTTAAGCACACTGGCTGCTCTTGCAGAGGACCCAAGTTTGGTTCCCAGCACGCACAAGGAGGCTAACAATCATCTGTAACTTCAGTTCCAGGGAATCTCATGCCCTCTTCTGGCCTCCACAGACATTGCATGGCAGGCACACATGTTGGCAAAACACGTATACATATAAAATTTAAAAAAACAAAGCCGGGCGTGGTGGCGCACTCCTTTAATCGGAAGGCAGAGGCGGGCAGATCTCTGTGAATTCAAGGCCAGCCTGATCTACATAGTGAGTTCCAGGACAGCTGGAGCTACAGGGAGACCCTGTCTCAAAAAAGACCAAAAAAACAAAACAAAACAAAAACAAATTAATGAAACTTTAAAGACAACCAGAAAGTTATATCTGAGCATAAAGATGTGAACTGTTACTTTGCCCAGAGGCATCTGCCATTCTAACCTGGCAGGGTCTACAGATATTTTCTGTAAAGGGCCAGGTGAGTAAATACTTCTGCCTCTGTGGGCCAGTCTCAGCCACAGGTCCCCAGCTCTGCTCGGTGGGATGGACACAGCCACAATGAAGCAGAAATTAGTGGCGGTGTCTCTGTTCCCATGATGCTTTATTTACAAAACCAAAAAAAAAAAAAAAGAAAATTGGGCAGCAGACTGGATTTGGTACAAG